GGGGCCTATTGCACAAAACTAGGATAAGGGATTAAGCCGGGATATCTTGGTGATCCTGGCGCAATTTATCCGTGATCCGGTTGCACTAAAGCTGTGATGACGACAGTGGTCGGCTGCTGAGGGACCAATATGTGTTGAATTATTTTAGTTAGTATATGTGCTTTCAATTTTGGTTAAATATGTCCTGCGGTGGCAGAGGAATTTGGGTTTTTTTGTGTTCAATATATATATATTATTGATTTGGCCTCTTATGTTTGTGCTGTATCCATTCATTTGTCTGTTCAGTTGATTTGTATGGATTTGTCCTGCATTTATTTCAGTGTGCAGACATGCGGGGTGTGTTATATACAGACCTTTTGAATGTGTATTTATCCTTTTGTTGTATAATATGCTTTGATTCTGTGCTTTCCATCTTGTAGAGTCACTGTGTGACTTCAGTTTCGAAAGGAGCTGATGGTTTACCTGCTTTGTTTTATCCTTATTCAATAAAGGAACATAATGTTACACTTTGTGTTTTTATATTTATATGGAATGTGTATTTTATATGACAGAGTATTAAGGCCACACTAAGGAAGAAGGAAAAAGTCATACATTTATGAGGCTGGTTCTTTTTTCCCTAAAAGATGCATATTCTTTTTACAGTCCTGATACATATGACAATGTGATGCTGATGTGCCAAAAGATTAAGTATGTCCTTGATTGTGGAACCATACTGAAGAACAATTCCACGAAATGCCCCACAGCTGTCATTTTAACAACTGTCCTCCTCTAAAACAACGGGTTACAATATTATTAAAGACTTCATTATCGAAGTCTGTGAATTTTCTTTTTTCTCCCTCTGTGGCCCTAATATTCTATCATTTTATATATAGCCTTATAGTCTATGGGAAACTGTAAATTATCTAATGATAGCAACATCATCTAAAAGTCATCATTTATCCAAAATGATTGAAATTAATGATCACAAACGTTTAAACAATGACAGTGGGTCTAATTATATGTGATAACAATGTATAGTGTGCAGTGAAATAACTATTGGTTTCCGTTTGTGGTGACTGCTGACTGACATGAGGGATGAGATTAAATAAATCCTGGAACTTAGCCTGGTCTGGAGCAGGCTAGCTCCACAGAATAAATCTCCATGGTAATTTATACCATAACATCCTACCGCCATCTAATCCAGCTTTAGTGCAACCGAATCACGGATAAATTGAGCCAGGATCACCAAGATATCCCGGCTTAATCCCTTATCCTAGTTTTGTGCAATAGGCCCCTGGAGGTTGCTGCTTGTACACTATCAGTGACTCAATAATGACTTGGCTAGTTGTTCTGATGTCCGGCTTCTAATTTTACCAGCCTGTGAGAGGTGGAGGAGTGTCAGAGTGTGGTAGAGGAGGATTAAGTTTTTTGTGTTGTTGGTATAATTCTTGCAGGTCAATTTTGTTCACACATTCAATGTCCTGTACCTTGCAATCTTTCTGGTACTTGCTCCACACTTCTTTGCTGAGGCCTCCTGAAGCCTCACAAGGCCTTTCTGGAGGGACAGTGCTGTGGTTGACTAGTGCTGACAGGTGAGTCCGCACAGTGGACAGTTGTCGACAGTAGGCCAGCCCTGGTGGACAGGTGAGACAGGCACATAAAGAGCTGAAGCCAAGCAGCAATAAAGTCAGGACAAGTACATTTAGTTTCAAACAAAATATCCACTACTTAGATGCTCAGCATGATAACCACAATAAAAAACAAGGATAAGAACCCCTTAACAAAAGCAACAGAGTAAGGATCCCGCTTCCAGGATTAATGTAATCAACAGGTGTGATAATATATAATATAGTCAGTGAAGTACAAATATACAGTTTTCAGTACAATTAAGTGACAGGAAAACTAAAACTGTGCAGCTACGTTTTCACTATGAATGAAGACCAGGGCTTAACTGACGAATGGCAATTATAATTTAAAAAATGTTAAATGGTTTAAAAATGTGATAATGATGTGGAAACCTTGTACAGTATTAACTATGTTTCCACTGTGCATAAACAGTAGGTCCCCTACTGAACATTATTAGAGAATTACATAAGCCACAAGCCAAGTTTTTTACTGGACATACAGTAAAAAAACTACTCTCCATAGAAACATGATGAATTCATTGTTGCTCAGCAATGTATTTTATGAAATGACGTTCAGAGGGTTATTTAATTACTGTTTGCTAACATATTATTGATTGAT